TCCAATTTAACCGGATCAGACCGTATAGCCACCCCTACTATCAGCCGCTACGACTCCTCTGTAATATGTAATCTCCTCGATATAGTGAAATTGGCTCTCTCTCGCCCGTGGACGTAGCTAACACACATCGTGTTAGTGAACCACGTAAATCATGTGTCTGTGTTTTTCGATTCTCGCTTTCATATTCTTGTTTTATCGATTCCGGCGATTTCCCAATCCGTAGCAGCGCGTTTATAACATCCTCCATCTGACCTCTAGTTATCGTGATTACTGGAAAGTGACAGATTTTAAAAAATTAATTAATGGCGGATCAAATTGGACGGAACGTTTTAGTAGGAGAAGAAGAGGTGGTCAGTGTGTATAATTATATTCTTGGGCTTGGCCCTCACAGTAGATAACAAGTCGGCCGTTACTCTCTCTCTCTCTCTTCCTCAACGGTCAACACTAATAACTTGTTCCAAAAGGTGTCCAAATTGTAGATCGAGTCGTGCAGGCCGCCATGAAGCTTCCTTTCCTTGACTTGGCGTGTAGAATTTGGGTTTCAAAAATTTTCCACTGTAATCGCCCAGAACATGCACTCCTCCTCACGACTAATCTGATAAAGCCTTGTTCCATTTCAATTTTACTTTCCTCTGCCTTTATCAAATTTTGTGGGAGAGACATCAACGATTCAGCCCCATAGTATATACTAGAAGGGTTCGGTGGCCGGTAGTACTGCTAACAATTTCGATATAGCCTGTTTTGATCGATCTGTTTGACTCGTTTTAATACGGGGTGGGGTGGATATTGGAACTTTTCTTGACCTAACTTGCTCTTATCGGCATCATTCTCGACCCGTTATCTCATAAATAACATTATGGGAAACTAAAGATTGTATTTTTGTTACCTCATATTTTAGCTATAATAATGAAGTTGTAAATATGTAAGAAACTCAATCTCTCGAATGATTTAACTACATCTATCATGTAATAGTTTGTTTATTGATTTTCTAATGTTTTCTCTTTATATGCCCCTATAGATCGACATGTCTCAACTCACGTCTTGTAAAAATCCCACCTATTATAGAGCGAGTATGGGTATCAAAATACCTGCGGGAAGGGCCTCATTGCAAATCCTAACTGCTACTACTTCTCACCGATTACTGCCTATTTTTGTATTCTTGATGCATGCACGTGGATTCACATAAACTACTTCAACAACCTACCAAAGTTTTAGAAGACTATTTCTACGCCCTATCCCTTTTTTTCTTTCCATACCTAGTTTCGAAAGCCCACAGTAGCACCCACGAGGCCACGAAGAAGCTCCTTCAGTGAAATGAATTCTAACAAATTTTCTGTGCAATCACCCAGAACACGTGGATAATTGGATATGCATCTCAATGTAATAAAAAAATCTCTTTGCGTAGGGTCTTCATGTTCCTTTTATAGGATTTATCATGACAGTTAGGGTAGTTTGCTTGAGGGTTTTGGTGATGGATTTGGTCATGGAAATATATCCATCATGGACTTGAACCGAAATCCATCGTTTGCCTTAGGGAATTAGGGAGATGGAATTTGTGAGGCCCGCCACTTTTGGGGTTCCAAATCCGTGGACCCCACGGACTTGGAAGTTCCACCTCTTGAGGTGGGATTTGGGTGATGGATTAAAATCCATGATGGTAAATTACCTTTCTACCCTTAATTATTTCTTTGATTACAAATTTGTCCTACTTTAATTCAATGGTCATGCAACTGTAAACTTTTATAATTTCGTATTTTATAAATATGAGAATTTATCATTTCATTTTGTAATATCGTATTTTATTTAAATATGAATGTATATGTGATTTGTTAGATTCACCTAGAAACACTTTATGCTCATCTTGTACATTATTATTTGATTGATTGTCGGATTCCACATCGGTGAGTTAGCAAGAAGATGATGAGTTGTAGCAATAAAGCGAGCAATTGGCCGCAATTGATACATAATATTGCGTACATTATTAGATGAATTGTTTTTTTTATGAAGGATTATTAGATGAATTTTTAATTAGTGCCAAGATGAATTGTTAATTAGTGTCATATTGTAATACATTTCTATATTTGTAGTTGAATTATTAATCCACGGTAAAGATTTTAAAATTTCTTTCTATGTTTTGGATTAGTTTTAAATGAAAGATTTGGATTATAATATAGAAATATAATTAAATAAGGGTAACTAGGTAATTTGTATTTAATTCCACAAATCTAATCAAAGAAAGCCCATAATCAAATCCATCAAGCAAACAATAGACTTGTTCAAATCCATAATGCCACCAAATCCATCATATATCCGTGGTTTTCCAAAACTCGGGTTTTACCAAAAACCTCATTTTTCAAATCCATTAAGCAAACGACCCGTTAACACTGAAATGATGCATATAATTTATTGACCATACTCTACATTATTACTGTCAATTATTGTTTCTAATTAAATTGATCAAATGTCTAACAACGTTCTAAACTCAACTCACATTCCATTTGAATCGACGAACGACCGAACCCTCGGAACCTTCTTCAACCGTTCGAGTGATTAGTCAACATCGAGATGCCAAACGACTAAGTCAATAAGAACTTTAGGGAGTCATTATTACTCTAGGGAGTCATCAGCCTGTTGTCCCAAGTGTATTGAGATACTAGTGTTGTATCCGGCCCGTCGGCCGGTTTGTGGTCATTTGGGTATTTTTTAGTTAAACGAAGGTGGTTCGATTTTTAGTATGGTTCACTGGTGGTACAAAAAAGTACTTTGATAATTTATGTTTTTTTAATGCCCGTTAACTTTATAATTTTATTGAATTTGTATTTCATTTTATACTTAACTATAAGAAATTTAAGTTAGACAACGAATGAAATGAAAAGCTATCTGGAATTATATTCATGCCTTGAGATATTAAACATCACTGAATTAAAACATATCAACATAAATCTCTATCTTCGTTATATGTGAATAATTAGCTTGCAAATGAAGCGTTGAAAATTTTATTACTATTTTAATTTAAATATTGTTGATTGTCATCTATTGAATTAAAAAGGAAATACTGTACATAATATTACTATAGATGTATTACATTTAAATAGTTTAAAGATACAAAAATTCGAGGAGAAAAAAATGTGATATGGAAATAGATTATTTGGACAATTATGTAAAGCAAATCCAAAAATATTAGTATAGATGTATTAAATTTATATTTTCGAAAGAGACAAAAATAAAAAATATTAGCAAAAGAATATTTTGACTTGAAATGGCCTTTGTAAGTTATTCAATCATTTGAACTTTAGTTATCATAATCCAAACTTAACCTTTAACAATATGCTCATATTTTTAAATATTTTATTGACTATATCCTATATTTTTAAAAGCGGAGTGGTTGTCGGATGGAAAATTTCAATGACTCATGATTAATGGTTTATCATTATACAACTATTTCCATTGGACCATATTTTACGTTTAATAATTTTCTAATAAAACCTATCTCGACTTTAAGCAATTACATAGAGTAAAAAAAAATTTGTTTGATCTAATTCGACACAAATATCGAGTCGATATGATATGGATGGAATTATTGTTTAACCTATGACTAAACATGCGATCTTACCTTTCAAAATTTAATGTAAAAATTAGACATGCTAATTAGAAAATTAAAAGAATTAAAAACAACATAAATTGATTGTATTTTGCCAAGATTTCCCGTTTTTCTTCCTCTTCATGTTTGCCGAAATTACTGTGAGATTAAGATTCTAAACCTTTTGAAGTTTGATTCTTGGTTTATCTGTTTAACGTAAAACTCTAATGCGAAAAAGCCTATTCAGAAGGAACCTCTTCCCAAATATCCACACCACAACGATATATCATCTTTATCATCTCAAAATCCAATTCTCAAGCATTATCTCATGTAGGAGTTAAACAACTTTAGATAGCCTCTGTTTTTTCCTTAACCACACAAAATAAATCTACACATAGCAAAATTCAAATAATTATTATGTAGCATTTACCTTAAAACAAATCTTCTTTTCCCTTCATCATAAATCTACATAGAGCAAAGTCCAAATAATTATTATAATAGCATTTACCTTAAAACAAATATGCTTTTCTCTTAATTCTAATCGCATTTACTAAAAAGAAAACCAAAAGTCCAATAATAATGAGTGACCCTTGAGTGTTTGAAAAATTGTCAAAGTTGCCCTTCCACCAAATAAGAAGAACCAATCAAAGTGCAAGGTGGCAACAATGACATAAAGTGAAGTGCATAATATATTGTGTAGATATAAAAATTTAGTAATTTATCCTTAATTTTAATCTTTTAAGAGTTGAGTATAATTCCATGTCCCAAACTCCAATCGATCATATAACTTCCGTTACTCAAAGATGAGAAAATTTGAAAAATCAAAACTATACGAGCATTACTTTTACATGCAGCCAGAAGTTTGGAAGACAATTCCTACAGGAAGTGGTTGCATTATTCCTAACTATCCTGTCTCAGGTCAGAGAAGTAACTAGTGCACAATCTCTAATTCATTCGTGTCTCCACTCAACAGCTAACCCTACAATCTAAAACACCTCATCAGTCATCAACCCTCAATTGAGAAGGCAAAATCTTATGAGGTAACTAAACAATAATATCTTATGAAGAACAAGAAACCAAGCAACCAAACAACCTCCTATAACTTTCAAAAAGAAAGCCTAAATTTGAGTGCAATCGTATAACCTATCAAAGAGCACACGTTATACCACCTGAAGCTAAAGTACAAGCTTAGGTAAGAAAACTTCATTCACTGGAGAAGGAAGCATCAGAAAAACCTGGATCCATCCCATATTATAAAGCACGAGTCAATAACCCATCTTCCACTTTGTCCACACATTTTACTCTCTTCCAATTTCTTGCATCATGGCAACAACCACAAAAGAAAGACAGAAACCCACCTGAGAAGAATGATACTAAATGAAATATATAAACAATGTACAATCACGTCCATCTATCAACCTTTTCCTTCAACAGTGCCTTCAAAGACTGAAGCAAGGACACTCTTAACATTGACCAGTGCTGTCAAAAACTTGGATAATTATTATAATCATAATGATAGGTAAGCTTTCTGATCTACTGCTAAGAATAAGTGATCACACCAATCTAAACCTGATTTGCAGGCGAGAACGCCGCCTAGAAGATGTAGACTACAAGCTAAAAACACAGATACGATACAGCATTCCACTCAACCTATTTCCTTAAATCAAGGACCATGGACCATGGTAACAACTGTGGTGTGCATAAATAGATTGAGGAAACAGTGATCTGCAACACTAATCTAAAAAGAAAAAGAGTTGGGTGTTGGCCGGTTCCACCAAGGGGCTCAAAATCTGATAACAAATACCCTCTGTGATGTCTTTCCCATAAATTTGGTGATTAATCTAACCAAATGTTATGGAACCAATGGATGAAATACAACTTGTTGCAATAGTGAATTGACAATTGCCCTTCCTTGCCCTAGCATCCACCTCTAAGTTTCCTACATAAGGCAGTCTTAATACTTCTTAGTTCAAAAGTCCAGTCTTCCTCGTCATTCAGGTGAAACTGTTAGAAGAAAGCAAGACTGCAGACATCCTGCTGTTAAAGTGAGATAAGTTATTACCTTTTTTCCATCTGGCAATAAAACGAAGTGGTCATATTTAATAAAACCTGCATACCTTACATACTCTGCTCACCGAACTCCAAGCAAAAACATCCAATCCCCTTGAGCTCATTTAGGATTGAATATCAGTTTGAAGGCAATTCAAAATAAATTCTTTTAAAGACAAGTGAAACTTAAATAGGCCCTATATAAACTTGTTCTCGACTCTTCTAACAACAGCAGAGCCAATCATCAAATAGACACTGGTGATCCTCTGACTACCAAGAATAAATGTTCAAGGCACTAAAACAAGTAAATATAAGCTTCAACTAATGGGTCAACTACTTTGAACAAATTCCAACAAAGGCCAGATAAGGTTTACGTATAAGAACTAAACACTTGCCACTGCTTATCTTAAACTTAAAACGAACCTTCCTTCACAATTCCAAATACTAACCACTTATTTTTTATATTTTAGCCAGCTAGGTCTAAATATCAGAACATACAGCTTAAAACCATAAACAAGAAGCATTAATTAACTAGCAATTAGGCTGTGTTGTTAGTCACTACACACAAGAGAGTCACCAACCTTCAACCAATTGATACATATAACCTGTTAGGAATTATGCTAAAAGCATGTGAACTATAATCGCACAAAGTTGAAGCAGCAGCCAGAACATAGCACGCCCTCCAGAAAAAGAAGAAGAAAAAAGTTAAACTGGAGTCTAGGCAATCCATCACCATCACATTCATTATCAAGCTACAAATAGCATAAAAGAACAGTAACAATGACTAGCGTACAGATAAGGTGCACAGTGTTTCACTGTTTCATAACATAGAAAAATGGGGAACCCTGGCTCCTGACGGGTGTGGGATTTACTCATGCAACATGACAGCAAGCAGATCAGGGTAAAGATAATAATGATATATACATCAAAAGCAATGAACTCGACAAGAAAGAAACAACAGCTAAGATTCTTACAAGAGAATCACGATGATAGAGACAGCACCCTACAAGAAAAGTAACAAGAGTAGATTAGTACTTGAGGCAAATATATAGCCAATTGAAGTCTAACAGTAACAAATGGACAACTTACTGTGATTTTCTACAGGCTGCAGCAGACCATCTACAAGCATGTGCCTCCAAATTTCCAGAAGACCATGAATCAGATGCATGCAAGTCCATCAGAACAAGAACAATAGTAGAGAAACAACTAAAGAAGATGAAAACAACGAATTAACAATTGCTTAAATTCACTTGACAGAATACATCACTTAGATCCTAATCCAGATATCGAAGGTGTAAAAGGATAGGGTAACAGCAACAGCAATCACACTTAAGTTGCACATTCAAAAAGAGCAAAATTAGAAAATCTAATACTATATAGTAATGAAACCCCGAGCAGAACAACTTAATCCGACTAATACTAAATCCACATAAATGTAGTAGGAACAACAGTAAAAATTCAGACACAAGCACCAACCAACAAGTAAAAGGATAACATAACACATGGTAATGCAAATTTAGTTGAAGGATCTCAACCATGTTGAGGCTATAGTAGCAGATAATCTAAGATACCTTCTCCCGGGTTCCTTTATGCATCTAAGCCCTGGAGATTGCCACAAAGCAGAGGAAGATATCCTGAACGAAAAATTGAATTAGCCACCCAAGGACAACAATTTAAATGATATAAAATTACATTTATAAACCAGTGACCACAGGATAAAGAGAAGTGAAAAAAAGAAAGATGAAAAATACTTCACAACCTATGAATAGCCTATATTACTGGGATAACAGAAGTATTAGAACAGCTCACGGGCCAAAACAACTAGTACCAAGGAAGTTCTCATCAAAATACAATAGATTACTAACTCAGACAATCCAGATCATTTCTCCCCTCAATATATCTTTCCGCACTTCCAGCTGTGCAAACCATGTTGAAATACAAATATAACTATAATAGGGGAGCCAAGATCAGCTATGAAGAAGTCGCCACTACGTTCATACTCAATAAAGATTACAAGAGTGAAAGAAAACAAACGCCTTTGGCGAGTTGTCTTACAATAGAAACAGTACATTCCCTCGAAAGAACCGCCAGTAAAGCGTACTCCTGACCAAACATCACCATTTGCGAATCCAGAAATCGTCCACAGCTCATAGGTACCCTCATAGAAGATAAAGACAGATAATGCCCAATCATTAGCACTGAAATTAGGATAAGGTGACAATATACAAACATCAATGCAACGGCATTTCTGGAGTCAGAAAAGCAGCAACATGGTTTCACTTGCCAGTGATGAATGGATGGTTTAATGCCTGAGAAACTGTCATCCTCTTCTCAGGATCCAAAACAAAAATCTTTTCCAAAATGTCTTTAAAGTTGGCCAACATTTTTGGATCGTCGCCTGGAGAGCCTTTAACAATTGACCCAATATCTTTAGGCTTTACATTCACAATCATCCTCTTCATTATCTGGAAACAGTTAGCTCAAAATCTTAGCAAGCTCAAACACACATAGTCAGCAACTAACTTGAATTGGAAAAAGAGCCATCTCCAGTATACCTTGTTACTCACAGGATCTTGTTCTGTAGCATGAAAATTCAAATCCTGGTCGAAGTGTTGATCAACAAATGCACCCTGCAAGGTCGTCTAAATGCATGAACATAGTGCACATTTTATGGGAAGCAGATCAAAGACAGCCTACGGGATCAACTCATACCAAGAAAGTGAGGAATAATACACCACAAACTGAACATTCGGAAAAGGAAGCACTCTCACTAAGGAGGTCCAGATGGAAGCACGCACGCACAAGCAAGCAATAATAAAGAGTCTATGGCTACCAATACAGAAAATCCCACCTTCTTAAGCATCTTCTTTGGAAAAGGGCCCTTCAGTTCCATGTGCAGTCGCAACATATCATTATTAGTTTGACCAGGAAAAAGAACTTTCCCTGCATAAAGCTCATATAAACAGCAACCAACGGACCAAATATCCATAGGGTGGTCATATGACAACCCAAGAACTGCAAAAAGAACAGCTGAAACTGAGACATTTCATCAAGCAAAATGCAATCTATAATACATGTGAAGCAGAGCCTATTCATGCATTAGATGCAGCCAAACATGCACAAAAAGAGAGCTCACTTATTTCCGGAGCACGATAAAAGCGGCTGACAAGATATGGGGTAATTTCATTTTTTCCGGCAAACATGGCATTGCCAAAGTCGCAAAGCTTCAGCACATTTTTTGCCTCGTTCACCTGCAGAATGGTACGGAAAAGATAGTAAATAACTAGAATGGAAAACAGAATCTAATAAGAGTAAGAGCAGGAGCAAACTGGACATACCAGCATATTGTCCGGCTTTATATCACAATGAAGAACACCACAGTTTCTTAGATGCTTCAACGCAATGAAAAGCTGTTTTGCGTACGCCCTTACAGCTGTTAGTTTAAGCCCAATATTGCGACCAAACTTTTTTAGCACCTCGCGAAGATTCATATGAAGAGACTCAAAAACCAAACAAGAATGATTTCTGTACTTGAAATGCGAAAGGAATCTAACACAGTGGCGTCTGTTCTCCAAGTCTGCACCAGCTAATTTGTTTAAAATTGAAACTTCAACCTGACCAGCCTTGTTCCTACATGAGGACATGAAATAGAAGTTAGCAAACCAAAGAGCAAATAGTGTTTGCAAAAGAATTTGACATCCACATATAGAACCTAGCTTACATTGTTTCATTGTTTCGTATAATTTTTATGGCCACCTCTTCCGGTTCATCACTTCCAGCCTTCAGATCCTTTGCACGGACTACTGTGGAAAAGACTCCTTTCCCATGAGCAGCAATAATTTCATAGCGCCCATCAAGAATCTCACCAAAACGATAGCCTACATCAAACACATGTATCAATGGGAAGCCACCAACAAAAATGTTATTCCTGAAAAATGTCCCAACAAAGAAGAGTAATTATTAAGGGAACTGAAGTACTCACTATAATAGCCCTCAGCATCATCCCAATTGTCATGTAGAGCATTCCGCACCACAGGCAAACCGTCCACCTTGCCCTGCAAAACATTACCAACTGAAAAACCTCAACAGAAGAGTAAACACAAATCTTAAAAAAAAAAACTTGGCTAGAGAAGTAATAGAAGTTTCCAGCATCAATTCCTACGTCCCAAACTGATCCGGAGAAGTACTCCAATTAATTATTACAGCCGCACAGGTTTTAGAGCAATGGAAATGTCGGAACCTTACCGTTTTGCGAACTGCAGTAGGGGTTTCTCCAAATATATCATCGCAGTACCTTTCCTCTGATCTCTCACTCTACACCAAAATGATGACAAACATAAACTTAAGTCTATAATTGCAAATTATGACAAAACGGCGATACTTCCTATTCCTCAAAGTGATCAAGGGGAGCACAACTAGTCGTAACAAATAACCATACAGAATTACAAGATTAATAATGCCAGAACCACCACCTTTGGAGTACCCTCGCCAAGCCCGCGAGGAGAGGAAGTACTATCAGAAACCTGGACCCCATTTTGAAGTGGTGACTTAACAACAGATACTGCAGGCTCCGCAACATTCATATCTCCTCCATCCCTCCTATCATTCACAGCCTCTAGAGCTACGCCACTGGATGGTAAAGGTTCACCAGGGTGCTCCCCGGACTCCCTAGCTGCACAACATGGCGGGAAAATATTTTGAAGGCAACAAAATAGCAGTACCTCAAATACAAGTACATATATGAAGAATATAACCCTCTGTAAGATAAATTTCCCAATGAAGAAAACAAAGGTACCACAAGAAATAAAGTTCAAGCGAGTATATGGACAATAGTCATGCAGGAGACTGACACCGACACGTAGTTTAACACATAAACCATTACAAGAAATCTTAGCTTGCAAAGCTACTCCACTTGCATATTGGTGATAGAATACAATCACACATGAACAAAAATTATCAGTTCGATAGTTGAAGGAAAATCTAAACCAATTATTCATTGGCTTCAAGTCAATAAAGCATACCATACCTTTCTTCACATCAGGGAAATTAGACTCAGCCTGCTGATGCAACTGCTGCTTTCGATACTTCTCAAGAATTGCCTCCCTCCGCTTTCTACTCTCCTCTTTGATTTTGTTCAAATCCTCCTCCTCTTGCTCAGCAAGAATTAATGTCATCCTCTCTTCAAAATCATCCTGTTCATCGTCATCCCTATTGCCAATAAACAAACACACCCGATTAAAAATGACATTGCATTAATACAATTACAAACAAAGAAAAATTAGAGAAAGAAAACAAACGCAATACCTTTGCGCTTTCTCCCTGTCATGTTCAAAAGCATCACTGTTAGAATCACTCTTCCCACCCCTATCATTTCCGCTATTTCGACCGTTCTGCCACTCCTGCTCCCTTTCTCGCCCCCTATCATATTCCCTACTTCGCCCTTTGTCCCTGTGCTTATCCCCTTCCTTATCATTGTCTCTGTCTTGGTCCATATATTTTTCTGACCCTCGGTCCTTTGCCCTCTGCTTCCTCCAATCATGCTCCTCCTCTCTATCCCTACCTCTCTCTTGTTCTCTCCCTCTTCTCTTCCCTAAATCCAGTTCTCTGTCCCTCCTTTGCTCCCATTCCATATCCATGTCCCTACTTCCATGCCTTTTTTCCATCCTCCTGCCCCTGTCACCGTCCCTGTCCTGGCTCTTCTCTCTTTCCTGCATCTTCCTTCGATCCATGTACATCTCTTTGTCCCTACTTCTTTCTCTTTCCCTCTCCCTTCGCCTATCTCGGTCACCTTCCCTCTCCTGACTCCTCTCTCTTTCCTGCATTTTCCTCCGATCCACGTACACCTCTATGTTTCTGCTTCTTTCTATATCCTTCTCCCTTCTTCTCTCCCTGTCCATATCTCTCTCTCTACTCATGTCAATTTCATATGCATCACGGCCACGATGTCTGTCATTCCGTCTTGGATATCTACTGTAACTAACACTAGATTCTCCGTCCCTATCCCGACCATATTCTCTCCTAGAACGTACATCTCTACTACCTCTGCTTGTTCTTTCATCATCAGAATGCTTTTCTATCTTTTCATCATATTGCATTTTTTTCCAGCGGTCTTCATCTTCTACTCCACTGCTGGAATGAGATCTTTCTCTACCCTGATCGCGTGGTACAGATCCCCTCTTAGCATGAATCTCATCATGATACTTTTCCCCAGATTCTAACCGAGCATCCTCCCTGTACTTATCACCCCTGCTTTCAGGAAAATTACTTTTGACATTGTTTGACTGGCCCTCCCCAGCATCATTTGTCTCATGGTTAATCTTATGCTTGAGACCTGATTGAGACGGAGACAAAGAGTCTGTATTGAAAATCTTCTCATCATCCTGATAAGAATAGCTTGAACTTCCATTAACCTTTGATTCTGCACCAAGCTCAGAAGCACACTTACGTTGATCACCAGGCTTACTATTTCTACTCAGACTAGCACACTTGTCATGTTTAACACCAGCTCGAGAATTGTCCATGAAGCCATCATCCTTGTCATCAAGATTATGTCCCTAAATGAAATTCCAATGGTTAATAACAGAAAGGTACTTTATAAATGCCGAAGTAGCAAAAATATATTGCAGAAACCAGCTCTTACAAATCAACATAACGGCACCAGTTCTCCATTGAAACGCCTAGAAGAAACTTCTTTCTTTTTGCAATTCAACTCATGCGTATGAGTCGCGCAAGCGGGTTCTAACACACATGTTAAGGACACTATAACAAGCTCTCGACAACGAAAAAACTTATTAGACGCCACCAGAAAACTCTTCGAATATTGAGTGAAAATCAACTCTAATATGAATGTAAACAACTTAAAAAAGGTACCATTGATTGAATTCCCGGACTCAGAAGCAGCAAGCAGAAACATTTCTTTGTAAAAAGAATACAACTTGGGGGAAGAAAGAACTTCAAAAACACTGCCAATAACGAACTGTCTTCTATATTCCAAAATCACAGGATAAAAAAACAATTAAGCATCTTAAAGGGAACCAGACTCTCCTAGAATTCGCCCAAATTCAAGCATGGTGGAAGGAAAAAACCTGGATAAATATGTTGAGTTGAAACAAAAGACATTACAGAAGGGGGACAGAACACACCAGATTCTCAGAATCATCAATGTCCTTGCCTGATTCCACACCCTTAACAGCGCCAGCAGCGGACCCTTCCTCGTCCAGAATCTCCCCTTCCTCCACGTCATCATCAGCCAATTTGCAATCTGGGGCAGTATGAATCGCCAGAGAAGCAGGAGGAGCATCTTCCCCGCCAATTGATTTGGTTTCCTCGTCGTGCTTCTTGCTACGATGGTGGCGGTGGTGCCGGTGACGGTGCTTGTGTCGCTTGGAGGACTTCTCGAACTCGTCATCGGAGGGCGATCGACGGTGCTTCCGACGGGAGGCATCGCTGTCAGTCGCCATTGAGGGAAAAGGGGGATAGAATTCTAGGGTTAGGGTTAGGGGGTTTTGATTGAAATGGGGTTTAATCGAGCCAAATTGGAGAAAGATCTGTGGGCGACAAAAAGGCGGTGCGGAATTTCGATTCGACGAATCGAACGCGATTAGGTAATGGTGCTCGTAATCAGAGGAAGAACAGGACGCCGCGAATTATCGCTGATTATTAGCGAGGGGAAGCAGAATGGAAGATTGGTTTGGTATTGGATGTCGCTGTTCAGTTTACAGGATTTGCTCCTGGACAAGGAATTGGATAAACGGAAGGCCCAGTGAAATCACTGGGCCGTACCAAGCTTTTTCTTCAACGGTTTCCTTTTGTACCAAGTCTAATCGAAACCAAACCGGTTAGATGCGTTATTGCCTTATTGGTTTTCCAGTTTCAGTTTTTCTTTCGGGTTCGGGTTTTCAGGTTCTGGGTTCGGTTTTGTTGAATGGTTTTGGGGTTGGTTACAGAACCCGAATGACATAACAACTGTTCATATCTCATAGTTTGTTTCAGTTTTTGGGTTTCAGATTTGCTTTAACCGAACCCGAAACTGATAAGGGAGTTTTCGGTTTTGGTCCACCAAAACCTAAAATTTCTCTTATCGGTTTTCAAGTTTGATTTTCAAAGGCTAATGGGTTCGAGTTTTTGGGTACATCGGGTTTCGATTCAGTTACCCGAACTGACACCCCCTAATGTGTGCAAGAGTTTGCTCGTATATAAATAATATAATTTCTCAATTATGCGCTCAATATTTTATGGATGTTGTTTACTCTTCGACATACGCAATACATGTTTCTAAGTAAGGACATTTAAATCTTAATCGATGAATAATTAATTTTTGGCTGAATCCATAACATGCTTATGTATTAATATCCAATGTTTGTCTTCCACTCGTGATAATTCGTTATCCGATGATAGAAGAAATCTTGATCCCTCCCATTTGACTTCTCCGGAGTTTGATTGGTGGAAAATCATATTTCTTTTGCTCTATATTCTTGTTTATAGGAAAAAAATGGCAAAAATCTTCTAGATGTAGCCCAAAATCCCTATTTACAACAAGCTATAGGGGCTTAAATTCGACCTAAAGCACTACATTGTCCCAACCCGTGCAGCTGTCTAATGCGGACAAGGAGATGCAACACGGTGGTGCCCCAAAGTTTGAGGCGCCCAACAATCCTCAAACATCTCATGGGAAATTTCGAAGTGGTTTTTGAGTAATCATGTTATTTACGATACACTCAATTTATCATGGTAGGCAAAGTCGTCGTTTGGAGGGCAGTGGCGGATCCAGAAATTTTATGTAGGGGTGTCCTCTATAAAAATTAAATTAAATTAATAATAAAATAATTATTCAATAAAAAAATATCCGATTTATGTGAATTACAACAAAGCACACGACGTATTTCATAGAGACATTGTAAAATACATCGTTGTCTAACATTGCTCTATAAATCTCTCTTGATATTTCCGACTAGACAAGAGGAGCCTGTAATTGTGTTTAATCGTTAGCTTTGGAAAATAATTGGGGATAAGGAATAGCTTTTTACTATTATATTTGGATTTAAAATACAAGAACAAAGGAGTTGTAGTCTAATGAAAAGTATGCTTACTAATAGTAGCAGTGATCCGAGTTCATATTATATAGACTACCACTTAAATATTTTTATTTACCCATACACAAACTATTACTAGAGGTTAGATAATCATTTGCCCAATTTTTAGGGTGTCTCACTACCACTTAAATATTTTTTTCACCCATACACGAACTACTATCAGAAGTTGAATAATCGGGTTCCCAAATTTTAGGGGTTTCCCGGAACACCCCTAAAACTGCATGTATCCGCCACTGTTGGAGGGGTACATGAAAACAAGAGAAGAAAGAAGTAGACAGAGTAAAATACATGTAGTGCTGATTTGTGCGTTCTTTCCCCTAACTACATTACATTTTGATTTATAGTCTATTTATGTACAAGACATGTGTTTTGTCTGTGACTGTCTACATACTTCTATGTGCAGGTGACAGGTTTTCACTATGGATCAGTCGCCATTAGCGGTAGCAATGAAGGCTGGGTGATGAAGGGGATGATGACTCATATTAATGTCTTGATGATGATCAGGTGGTGGATGATCGTGCTGCTGGCCGTCGCCGCCGTAGTCGTCCTCCTCTTCGATATGAAGGATTTCAACCCTGCGCTTCATCTTCTTCCTCAGCTTAATCGCCACATCCGACGCCCTGAATCTCCCGCAGACCGTCACCGTGCACTGCTGCTTGTCTATCATATGCGTCTCCACCCCTGCAGGCAGGCCAGTGATCGATCATATTGTAATGTAGCTAGTTATTCTCTAACCTGCCTTCAAATAACATCTCGATCGAGTTGTTGAAACGAACTGGTTTTCGACGGACATGAAACATACATACATATATGTATATACCTTTCATTTGGAGGATGATTCTCCTTGTCTTCCTGCAACAAGCGTTGCAGTCTAGGTTGAGTCTCATCACCATGCAACAGCTCTGCATATGCATGCATATATTAATATCACCACAAAGTTACACAGAACAAAAACAAGAAACTAGGGAAGAGTTGAGAGGAGGGGACTTGCCTTCACAGGAATGTATCCTAGAACCGGCATTTTGGAAGAGGTTTGAAAAGGGCTAATTTGGAGGGGTTTTTGGTGATGATTTTTTCAGAAGAGAAATCACCTAGCTAGGTCAGGTGGGAGACATATGAAATGATTATATGGTGAGGTGAGGACCAGATCCATGCAGGTTTGGCAATGATGGGTTCTCTTCTGCTGCCCCTTTTGTACAGGCAGGGGAAAATGGGAGAGAGGTAATAAGAATCTGATTCCTTCTTCATTTCTGGCACAACTACAACTCCAAAACTTGGGGTTTTGGTTTGTCACAGGTTAGATGTCATCCTTAACTTTGTCTCCAAGCCCATCTTTCGTTTGCATTTCTGGTTTCTGGTACTAACTCCCCGCAAGCTAGGCTTAATTACAATTCCTAATCTCTCGTACAGCCATTAGAATGGAGTTGGTCAATTGGGTTATGTATTGATTCTACATTATAGAACTAAACTAAAGAGAAATTAGGCATGTCTTATTAGAATATCCACCGGTCAATCATGTGTGTGTATATAATTACTAGCTTTGTGCCCGCCCGATGGGCGGGTGAATTGTTAAGCTGAGCACATTAATGTACATGACAAAGATAATTTTTGTATAAAGCATATTTATTTTTTATTGAGTGTCTTATCAGACTATCCTGATTTATTTAAATTTTGATGGCAAAAGGAGAATATATTTGTTTGGTTTCGGGAAAAAATTACTAAACCTAATTTATGCATTGTTACCAAAAAAGGTTTAAGGAAGATTTTAAAACTATTGCTTCTTTACATTATCAATCAAAATATTATACCATAAACCATTGCTAGCATATCATTGAAATGTAATCTAAAACAATATCATATCATCAATGAAATACTTCCAAATTAATGATTTTCACTTCAACTTCGTCTGCCAAACTTTAACACAACTTACAAATTGAACCTATTTACAGCCCCGCAAACAAATAAGAACATCTCATGTTTATCTAATCCAACTAATTGACAATTGAAAACTCAAGTAACAACAAAGTGAACTCTCCCAAATGTAAAAAACTCTTAGTTAATCAACCAAGACAACTCATGGCACGTTAAATATGCAGGTAGAACTTAACACCGATACTCGGCAGTACATCTATACTACACTCCAATTCATGGCATGCTCATGTGTTCAAGCATTGGCACCTTCATCTTATTACTTTTCTTCTTCATCTTTGTACTCCTTTTCCGTACTTCTTCGTTGTCAACTTGTCATAAGTTTTCCCACCCTTTTAGTGCTCGTGCTAATTAGTATATGCCAAAACAAAGATATTTTAACCCATTCGATTAAGTAAAAGGATGGCCTTGGATACAGATATATGTGCAATCATAATCAGCAGGCACATGAATCATCGAACCACTCTACAAATTAACATGGTGGACTGGAATATTTCTTAGATGCAGAAGAGATTTAACAAATGCTCACTACTAAAGAGGAGTTATTAATACCATGCCATAGAAAGAGCATCAGGTGTACGTCCTAAGTTGCTTCTCACAACTGAAAGTTTATGATATTCCTCTAAAATTAGCATGGCAAAATCTTGTTTCAAATGCCATAATAAAAGCTATAGTGTAGCCTTAATTTAATTATATTGAAAGCAAAATGATCCATTGATTAGTAAATACCAACAGTTATGAAGAAAAGCATAGGGGATAAACATGGACAAAGAAATATAAATTGTGATGAATCAAGTGTTAATAAAATCTACTGACCAACGAAGAGATTGTACAGAACCCAAAAAAAGGAGATTGGAACAATGAGGAAATCAATAGGGGAGCAATGGCTTGCGTGAAAGCAGCATGCGTTGCTAAAAAAGTTGATGTTGAAGCTAATAGGTTATCTGATATATGGGTAAATGATAAGTAAAAGAAAATAAGAAATCCCTACCGCGAGGGAACAAAGTAGAAACAACGTAACTGATATACAATGCAAGTTTGGTAGCCCAGGTAATCATCATTAGCCAAAACAAAACAAAAAAGTGCAAGTACTTAATCATAATCGCACTTATGCAATGAACAGTGAAGCAATAAGCCTTATATCCAACTGGAAATTGGACCCTCCATCTTAGCCCTTCAACTCAAAATATACGTGAGGAACAAATATATTCTATCAAACTTGATCTAAAAGCTACAACTCCAATCATCAAGTAATTCGTTGAACCAAACTTAATGTAAAAATCATACGTACCCATCATGTAGTTTGAACGCAACATATATAATTTCTGTATGAAAGCAAAGCATACGTACCGGCCATTATCTATGAGGAAGCAACACAAACTTCAGACCAAAATCGAAGGTGTGCAAAAATTGGCCGAGAATGAACAATTGCGTCGGGAATACCGAAGGAAAGTGTAGTTGCAGGGATGGGAACACGTACAATAGGGTTTGTAAAGGGACAGATGCGGAGCAGGGAACCAAACGGCGGCTGAAGAAATTCGAGCAAGGGAAAATTACCTGCGGGAATTCGAAGAAGTGGACAGGTTGATGATTGCAGCGTTGGTGATGTGCAGAAGTCGGCCGTATGCGGAGGAATCTGAGGGTCTTACGAACTGTGGTCGTGAGGGAATGTGCGGTTGCTATTGAAAAGGGAAGGATAGGGGCATGATAGGCAAGACAAACCATCGCCGCGACGGTAAAGAGATTTTGGTCGCAATCTAAGAAACAAATCGCGGTGGAAAAGAGAGAAGGTTGGGATTCTTGTGGGTCGACAAAGAGAGAGGATATCTGAAAATTGGGGAGGAAGGCAGTTGGCAGACACGGACGACGTGAAAATCTGGGAAATGAAACGCTGCAAATTTGGTGAGAAGAACCTGTTGGTGGTGAAGAGTTGGGGTCAACGATACGAAGGGACGCAAACGGAGGTTGAAAGGGAGGCGGCAGTTGTTTCCCGCGGAAGAGACGAAGTGGGCTTAATTTGAGAGGCTGACGTGGATCATCCTTCGTTGAGGAAGGCTTACGTGGACGGGGTGTAAATCTGAAAGCGCTTTAATATTTTTAAAGATTCCTTCCTTTTCAAGTTTGCTTTACAACAAAGTTTAAGTAACGCATTACCCACATTAGAAAGGTAGAATTTAGGGTAAATTGCAAGTTTGGTCACTGGAATTACTAAAAAGATTCATGTTTGATCACTAGAAATATTTAAATCCATTCGTGGTCACTAAAATTAGTTAAACGTTTCAAGTTTGGTCACTCTCCGTCCAACTCCGTTAAGTTTTGCTGATGTGGCAGTCAACACTTATAGTTGACCGTTAAATACATGACGCGGCAATTAAAAAAATATTAAAAAATAAATTTTAATTATTTAAAATTTCCACGTCATTTCCCACTATTAAAAAGTTAAAAAAAAAACTTAAAACCTGATATGATCAGAACCCCGTCGGGTTTCTACCTTCACCACCGCCGGCGAACTTCTCCCACGAGTTCGCCGGCCTCCGGCGGTTGACCCAACACTTCCGCCGACCAACCATCTCGGGCCTCGTCGGGCATGATGGTGGAAATTGATATCCTCAGGTAGACGACGGTGGGTGCAGAAACCTCGCTTGAGCATGGTGGCGGCTAGGTAGACGGTCACCCGAATCTTGTTTGGGAACTTGTGGCTCGCCTGTTGAAATGACGACTTAGTTTATTTAGGTAGCTTTTAGTAATTTATATTAATTACGAGAGTTATCTTAATAAACCATCTAGGGTTCGGTTTATGCCCTATGCCGAACATATATATATGTATCTCTGCTGTACAGAAAACCTAAGCTGAATAATATTGACTCCGGAGGGTTCTATCTCTCCCGTGGACTAGTCCTGATTCTCAGGGAAACCACGTAAATCTTCGTGTTGTGCTTGCGTTTATTTTGGAACTTGTTAATCATGCTCAAATCTGATCCAGGTGGGGAGTTCAGTTCAAATGAGCTCCTTGCTTTCTACCGTTCACATGGGATTCTCAGTCAGCAGTCTTGCCCAGGAGTTTCACAACAGAATGGTGTGGTTGAACGCAAAAATCGCCATGTTCTTGAGCTTACGCGGGCTCTACTATTTCGCTCTGGGGTTCCTGCGAGATTTTGGGTGGAAGCCGCTAACACTGTGGTTCACCTCATTAACCGTCAAATTACTCCTGTCCTGGATAATTCTTCTCCCTATCAACGGTTATATTCCAAGATGCCGGACTACGGTGCTCTTCGGGTGTTCGGCTGTTTATGTTTTGTACTTCTTCCACGCAAGGAGCGTCATAAACTGGAACCCAAGACAGTTCGGTGTGTATTTGTGGGCTACAGTGATCGTCACTAAGGGTATCTTTGTTATGATCCAGAAAACCAACGTTTGCGGATTGCGTACCATGTAATATTTATGGGGCAGGTTATGTATTTTTCAACTAAGAAGGAATCGTCTCGAGAGGAGTTTGCCCGCAGCCTCTCTTTCCTTGAAACACTTGTCGTTGCAGATACTATGACATCGGGTCATACTTGGGATCCACCAACTGCTGGCCCTTCGTTGTCTTCTTCCTCTCAAGATGAAGGTGATGTGTTGTCATCCGTAGGGGAATTACACACGGACAGCAGCAGTGGGGAGACAAGTTTGGGCAGTAGTAGTGGGGAGACAAGTTCTTCAAGCTCCTCTTCAAGCTCCTCTTCACCTGGCAGTAGTAGCGATGACACTAGCTTGGGCAGTGATGCCAATGATGGTCATGAATCACCGCCGCCACCTAACAGTTCCGGACCAGCTGAACCACGACGGTCTGATCGGGCAAACAAAGGTCATCCACCACCGCATTATAGCAATTATGTTGTCTTTGCGGTGGATCCTTTTACCTTTGCCGTTGAGCCCATTCATGTACCATCTCATTATAGGTATGCATGTGGTATACCAGAATGGGACAATGCAATGACCGAAGAGATTGATGCCCTTGAGGAGAATGAGACATGGGAAGTGATTCCAAGGACTCCTGATATGTCCATTGTTGGGTGTAAGTGGGTGTTTACTGTGAAGCTTAAGCCTGATGGATCGCTTGATCGATATAAGGCTCGGCTGGTAGCTCAAGGGTTTAGTCAGGAGTACGGGATTGACTACGATGAAACCTTCGCGCCGGTGGCGAGAATGCAAACTGTCAGGTGTGTATTAGCTGTTGCTGCAATGCGGAATTGGCCTTTGGTTCAGTTAGACGTCAAAAACGCCTTTCTACATGGAGATCTGAAGGAAACTATTTATATGGCCTGTCCGGCTGGGTACTCAAAGGGCGGTCCCAATGTTGTATGCCGGTTAAAGAAATCTCTGTACGGTCTGAAACAGGCTCCACGCACTTGGTTTGAGAAGTTTCATGGGACAGTTATACAGGCTGGCTTTGTACAAAGTCAGAATGATCCATCATTGTTTTTGCGTCATACAGTGTCAGGACTCACAGTGTTGTTGCTGTATGTTGATGATATGATCATCACAGGGAGTGATCAAGCTGGTATACAGGAACTCAAGGAGACTTTACACCAGGCGTTTAAATTGAAGGAACTTGGAGAGGCTTCCTACTTCCTGGGGCTAGAGATCGAGCGCACATCCCATGGTATTTTTGTTAGCCAGAAGAAGTATGTTAGAGATCTGCTAGTCGAGTTTCAGTTTCAGGATTGCAAGCCGAGTCCTACTCCAATGGAGCAGAATTTAAAATTGAGCAGATTGAGTGGTGAGCTTCTAGATGATCAAACTAACTATCGTACGATAGGTGGGAGTCTCCGGTACTTAAGTTCTACTCGGCCTGACATTGCCTATGCTGTTCAGGTTGTCAGTCAGTATATGGGAATGGCCAGAACTCTGCACCTTGATGCTGTGCATAGAATTCTGCGATATCTTCAGGGCACGCAAGATGTAGGGCTTTTCTTTCCCAACCATGGAGAGCTGACCTTGGAGGCATTTGCTGATGCTGATTTTGCAGGTTGTGTGGATACACGGCGCTCTACTTCTGGTTGGTGTGTCCGACTTGGTTTTTCGCCTATATCGTGGAGGTGTAAGAAGCAAGATCGTGTCTCTAAGTCTTCCACTGAAGCAGAGTACCGGTCTATGTCAGAAGTCAGCTCTGAATTAGTGTGGTTGCAGCGGCTGTTGCATGATCTGGGTGTCATCTGTACGATGCCTATGCGGTTGTTTGGTGATAACACTAGTGCCATTAGAATTGCTAACAATCCGGTGTTACATGACAGGACCAAACACATCGAGACTCATGTACACTATATTCGGCAGCTTGTTCAAGAAGGAGTCATCCAGCTTAGTCACTTGTCAACGGAAGATCAGACTGCAGATTTGTTGACAAAGGCGGTCGGCACTAGTCGTCATTGGTATTTATCTCACAAACTGATGCTACGACAGCATCATCAGTTTGAGGGAGGGTGTTAAAATGACGACTTAGTTTATTTAGGTAGCTTTTAGTAATTTATATTAATTACGAGAGTTATCTTAATAAACCATCTAGGGTTCGGTTTATGCCCTATGCCGAACATATATATGTATCTCTGCTGTACAGAAAACCTAAGCTGAATAATATTGACTCCGGAGGGTTCTATCTCTCCCGTGAACTAGTCCTGATTCTCAGGGAAACCACGTAAATCTTCGTGTTGTGCTTGCGTTTATTTCGAGTTATTATCATCGCCTCCATCACGCTCAACCCCCGCGCTGTGCCCCACCACCACCACTTATGCCAATTTCATCCATCCATTCGTTACTTATTATAATCCAAACTCAAAGCAATTTAATCATCAAACTCATCATCATCATCATTCATCGCCAACAATTGTTCTAATTCAAATAAGTAATAACAATACAATAATGATGGTATCTATCCTCACCTGCTCGTTTTCCGGCAACCACGCCATCAGGTCGAGCAGCGGCTTGTTGTACTCCCCGAACGACTATAGCGCATTGGCTTCGGTCCGGTCTACGCCGGCGTTGACGAGGCCGACGCACGACACCCTGTGTCCCGAGGACTCGAGCATGGTCCGGATTTTGTACCAGCTCCCGTGCCCGATCCCGAAGACCAGCACGAAATGCATCGTCGATGCCGCTGATGCCGACCATGTGTTTGCTGAAATGCCTTCTGGAGTACCGCCAACAGTGGTCGTTCCTTCGGATCCATAAATTCAAATCGAAATCAGGCCCGACAACTTCTTTCTTTACGGCCTGGTCAGAAGTTGTGTCCCCGGAACCCATCATGCCCGACGAGGCTCGGGATGGTTGGTCGACGGAAGCGCTGGGTCAACAGCCGGAGCCCGGCGAACTCGTGGGAGAAGTCCGCCGGCGGTGGTGAAGGGAGAAACCCGACGGGGTTCTAATCATATCAGGTTTTAAGTTTTTTTTTTTTACTTTTTAATAGTGGGGAATGATGTGGAAATTTTAAATAATTAAAATTTATTTTTTAATATTTTTTTAATTGCCACGTCATGTATTTAACGGTCAACTATGAGAGTTGACTGCCACATCAGCAAAACTTAACGGAGTTGGACGGAGAGTGACCAAACTTGAAACGTTTAACTAATTTTAGTGACCACGAATGGATTTAGATATTTCTAGTGATCAAACATGAATCTTTTTAGTAATTCCAGTGACCAAACTTGCAATTTACCCATAGAATTTACTTTTAACTTGGGTAAGAAGCTGGTTTGATTTGGTTGTTCCATCAAACCACCATAAAAATGTCACATGAAACTTATCGTTCTACTCCAAATTTATGTCCCCGGAATCCTAACATTAACTAGTTGGTCTGATGATAATTAAGAGCGAAAATGTCTTTTATCATTTTATGGATTGAAATGTTAAATGGGGAGAGTATCACGTATTAAAAAAAAAATTTGTGTATCCTGTTTTCTTCTTTGTTTGTTCTTCTTAGTTTTTGGGAAGGAGAAGCATGTGCCATCATTGAATTAACACAAGATCAGATATACATGATTAGGCCAAGATGCTTTACAAGAATGCATTTATATATGTACCCCCATTCCTACTTTAGCTGCTTCCATTACTCAGAAAGGTTACAGAGGTGGGAATGTGTTTCCAAGATGAATATACCCTCTCCTTTTCTTCAATACCTCTTGGAAGAAGAAGAAGAAGAAGAAGAAGAACCCAAAATGCGCCTGCTGATAATGGCAATTCTGCTTAAAGGGTTCCTGTAAACAACTCTGCCACCACCTCCTGGTCCTGGTCCTGGGTATGTACAAGTGAGAGTCACCTGCTTCTCCACCAGGTTTACTGTTACTGACTCTGTCCCTGACAAGCCATCACCATAACATCAGAACCAGAGGAAAAAACAAAGGTGCATAGTAGTTTTTATGTTCCCTCCAAACTCCCCCAACTAGGAGCAAGAGACAGAATACAAGAACAAAAATGACAACTGTACAAAGTAACCAAGCGAAAGATTTAGCAGATGGGGGAAATGAATGGTCCAAGACTTTTGGCATTTTGAGAAGAGTCTTCCTTTCCCTTCACTTTTCTGTTTAGACTTTTCTAGTCGTCTTCATTCACAGTAGAGGGAATCTAGCCGTTGCTCTCTCTCTAGTCTCTATAGAGGAGGAACTCTTGTGAAGAGCCTAGCCACTCACACACTAACAGCAACTTTATGAAAACAAATCCCAACAACATTCCCCACCAATTAAATATGTTGATAATCAAGAGTCATGACTAGACTATACCCTTTTGGATTCATAGAATAGACATCAATGGTAGATTAACTCTATTGAATCGCACACTATATTCGCGATCCTTAACTGTTGAATACACGAATCGGACTATTGGAGTTTTTTTTTCTAAAAATGTTGTATATAAGCAATCTCTATTAGCATGTTAACCGGATTAGAGTCTTAATTGCAAGGGACCTTGGCATCACCACATGTGATTGTGAAAAGAGAATCCATAAAAAGGAAAAAGCAAAAAGGTGACAGTTCCCATAAGAGCCCACTTTTATCACAACCCGTACAAGAACCCAGGTCCAATTCTTGAAGCTTGAAAACTTCTCGATGCACATTGTACGATTAGACAGCAGAAGAACGGTGTAAAAGGAAGGAAAAGATGGATGAGAGAGAAGTTGGAAGTAGCAGCAAAGCAAACTCACCACTCATTCTGGAGATAGCTTCAGCTACTCTCCTTTGACACTGTGCACACTGGATATCTGCTGATATCACCACCTCCTGGACCTTGAACCACAACCAGCATGAAAAATCCGTTACTGGGTCATTCAGAATAGAGCACCAGATGAACTAATATAGAAGTTAATCAGCAAAAGAGATGAAGAGGGAAAGAGAGTACAAACAAGAGGCATGGACAATGACTCGATGGAAGCCAGGCTACTGATCCCAGGAACAGACATGCTTCTCTTGTTGTTCTTCTTCTTGCTCTTCACATAGTTCTCTTCCTTGTGCTGCCTAACTACAAGAGCCATTCTCGCCCTCCAGGGGACTTAGAAAGAAAGGATTATAAGAACAAGAAGAAAGTGGAAAGAATAAACATGATGGTCTGCACCACTGGCAGGAGTTGAGAGGTGATGATGATATGAGAGAAGGAAGGAGAGGAGGCTCCTTGATCGATCGAGCTTTTGTTAAAGTAGTGGAGAGTCCCCACAACAACACTCCCCTGCCCTTTTTATTGCCTAGTTTGACGAAGATACCCCATTGCAGTTTCTTACCGAGTCGACCCCACAAAGATGTCACTATTTCTTGTGCAGACACTTTCTTCCTTCCCCCATAATTAATTTTTCTCCCGTTAGATTGCTTATGAAACCAGGCTCTTTCTTTCATATAATGGGCTGGCTCCAGCTGTAACAATGACCAAGCCGATGATATAGAGAGAGCCAACACCCGTTCCCAAGCATTCCAATGGTGTAGACAGCTTCCAACTGCTTCCACCTTCGGCTCCGGCTTAAACTTTCTGAAGCCCTGTTAAACAAAGCTAGAAGTATCACTGTAGCAGTAATACAGCTTGTATGATAATAGTGAAAAAGGTAAAAGTGAGTGATCAATGGGGTAGATATGGATGATGATCGTTGAGCAACTACTTCCTTCGATGTGGATAACATAAACTAACCCCACAATGTGGCGTTATTATTGTTTTCAGGAACTGGGTTAGTTTAGTTGAACCTGGCCACTAACATGATATCCCAACAACCTCTTACCTCTGAAGGGTCCGGCCACAAAACATAAGTTTCAGACAATCCGACAAAGATTCTTCAGTTGGCTTTGCTTGTTCAAGTCAAGTTTTGTACGAGCTATGCCTGACAACGACCCCGAACCCTACTGTTCCTGTGTGTAAGAATCTTGAATCAAGATTTCCCTCTGCTGCCTAACAGCCCATTAAACCTTCTATTTATGATACATTGCTCCTGGAAACACTGGGAACGAGAACATATGACAGAAAGAGTAAAGGACAGAATGAGGCAACATAACGAACAAGGATCCTGTTATGGTTTTCATTAACCGGAGATTGTTGCTGATGTACATGTTACAGGAATTGGATACTAGAAACCCATCCAAAAACTGATGTTCTATTCCTCAGAGCAAGAACAAACTCCCGCAGAAAGCCTATATAGCTATCGGGGTACCAAATAGCACAACAAGATTAGTTGCAAGCTAACAAACATTTACTTCTGCTCCAGGCAATACTGATGAGTGAAAGTTAACAAGCTGCATATGCCTGCATCAAGTGAGATGCACAGACAGCGTCTTGTTAAAAGATGCTGCTACTCCTAATTCCAACAACCCAGGAAGAAACAAGGCATGAGTCGTTCATCTGGACATCACTAAGTTTGCTAACGGCTGTACAGTAGAGGATCCAAACATTGAATCTCCCATGTACTTGCAGTTGTCATGGTCAATGCTCAATGCATTTGAAATCAAAAGTCTGGCATTCTGTCCAGGGATGTTTAGAAGACTCATTTTGCTGCTGTTGTTCTTCTGGTTGACCTTGAGGTCAGAAGCAGGTGTTCCACCACCACCGGACCCGCGTCTTCTCTTCCTTGAGGATTTCCATCTGAGTTTGGTCAGCAAATCATCTTTCGACAAATCCAACACCACTTTCTTCGATTCTTCATTTCTATCATCATCACTTCTGGAATCTAATCCTAACTTGCTACTGTCAGTTTCAACTTTTCTGGAATGCTGCTGCTCAGAACCTGATCTGCTACTGCTGTTGGTTTCAACTTTCATGGAATGATGCTTCGGATCAGAAAGTATAGGTCGGGCCATCTTACTAGCAACTGGTTGGCTCACCCTAGGCTTGCTTAATGACTGAGATAGGATAGAATCCACATTCTCAGGCCTTGCCTTGAGTTTTATCCAACCATTCTCCAACCATTCTTGAGACTGTCTCAAGTTCGAACGAACAAACACTTCTTCCTTGTTCTCTCCTGCAAGAAGTAGTTTAATTTATAAGAAACTAAAGACAAGAACCACTGCACAATAAACAAACATAAAATCAACTTGAACAAACCTGGAAAATGAACACGAATTTTCTGCTCAGAATCCATTTCAACAACGATTCCTTCCCACCAGCCATCATGCCACCACACATCGACAGCAGCTCCAGGTTTGACATCAAACAAGCACTCTTCATCCAACTCAGGGGCAGGACGGACGGTTTTCCTTCCAGCTATCCGGATGCCCAACTTATCAGGACTAGCAACTCGAGATGCCAGCATCCATTCCTGTAACAATTAATAACTATCTTGTAAAATCAATCTCATCCCTGAATTAACAAAGAGTTGCTTTCTTAAGAAACAAAGACAGTTTTTTTCTTAAGAAACAAAGACAGTTTGAAGAGGCAATAATGATACAGCATACATACCTCCAGCTTTTTAGCTTCATCAGCTGCATCTTGAATGTCTGCATACCTCACTTTCACTTTATCCTTGTGCTTCTTAATTATTCTAGCCCTAAACCAACATCCTCGAATTCCACTATCCTGTGAAAGCACTTCAACTTCATGGCCAACCTTCAGATGTTCAGCAGGGTTTGCCTTGGCCTTGGCCTCTGCCTGGGATAACAAGGCAACAGTTTCTCCTCCCCAAAGAGGAGGACAGGAGTCTACTACTTTCCTGTCAGGCAAACTGCTGCATAAGTCGTGATTATCCTTCACTGTTTCCAGTTTATCAAGTGAATGCAAACCATTATCTCTGGATCGACAATGCCTCTTTCTAGGCCTGATCTCAACATCACGATCAAACTGCTGCAAAGCTGCCTGATCTTTTGTTGAACCAGAAACAGGGTACATATGCCTCACTATTTCTTGGTTCCAGTAGCCCTTCACCCTAGTGACATTAAAGGGCTTTACTTCATCATCTTCAAACATATGGTCACACATAAAAGGGTCCATCCTAGTATGTGCTGCTACACTCTGGAACTTCTGAAAGTGCTGAGGACTGAGGATGACAGCCAAACCGTCTATGCATTCAACACTTAAATCTTGCAGACAAAGAGAGAAGAAAACCTCTCTGTCATTGTAATTCTGAGGCAGAGGAATACCAACCTCGTCAATTTTGTGAAACCATCGTACCACAACCATCTTACTTCCCTTTGAATCTTCATACATATCTTCCAAATATGCAACAAGTCTTTTTCCTTCTTCAGCTAGAACATACACAAAGTCAAAAACCTGAAAAAGATATTATTACAAGTCACAATAAGAAAACAGAGCAAAAATACTTGAGCGCAAACAATCAACAAGAGATCTAGTAACTCACAGAAATTTTTACACCGTTTCTATGGAAAGATGGAAAGTGCTTCCTTTTTCTCCTGCACATCCAAGGGGAGCCCAACCACGAAAATGCTCTAGTAACAGGACTGATTTTCAGAGATTGAGGATCCTGAAAAAAGAAAATAAAAAAGGTTATAATTCTATAAGAGCACTCCATGGATTAACCATATTACGACATGTGTCCAGTAAAAGTGAATAATACCTTGATGTTCAAAAAATCAGATGAACGGGCATAGCTGCTGCTAAGAGGTTTAGCTAACACAGATGATTGTTGATGCGATGAATCTGTAAATCAAAGCGCATTACCAGTAAGGGCCATCACCAAGGAAAACAGTGAAGACGGTATATACAGAAATGCAGGGAAAATTCAGGAACAACACTAAATACCAATAATACAAGTGAGTCAGGTATAAAATCAAACACACACAAATGACTGAAAAGGCCAGATAATAACATGAACATTCATTAGATGACTCAGAGCGGAAAAATCAACAACAGATCAAGTCAACACCACGAGTACATCATGACAATAATTTTCACGGGAAAAAAAAAAGATCACAACCTAGAAATTGAGGGCATGAGGATCCGATGCTTTCAACCAGCTCTTTAAAATTGAATAAGCATCCCTGCAGCCCAGATCACAGTCAGTTTGCAGTAAGAGGCACCAAAAACTATATCTGATGCTCATTACTATTGAATGGTTCATTTTCGCTAAATATATACCGCAGCACAAATTATAGATCACAGTCAGTATACTCAGAAGGATGAATATAACATAACAGTTACATGAAGGTGCGATTATAGATTAGAGGGCAAGCTATTGATTGACATGGAACCCACAGAGAACAGAAGAAATCATGAATCGAAGGAGAACAAAAGATGAACTTCCTTAAAAGATTGTCAAGGGAAATCAAAACAGAACTCGGTCATTGACTAGAGAAACAAACCCAAAAAGGAGAAGCATAACACTCTGCCATTAACTAAAATCCTCTCAATTAGCACATGCAGCTGGTACAGACCTGTCCTCGAGCCAACTACCAGAAGATTATATTTTCAAACAACACCCAGGAATACGAAGAGATTGCTTAACAGGTTTGATGGGCAGACCACCACTCCGCCAAAGCAGAGACCTTTTGGCAGAAAAAAGCAAAGCAAAAGCCAGAACTCTACCGAGGAAACCACTTTCCCAGACAAACCAGGACATCCCAGACACCAACAAATTTCACAAATCTCAGCAGACGTCTTAAGAACTCCGGAACTAAACTAAAAATGAACAAAGAAGTGGACAATTTGAAACCAAAGTTGGGGTCTTTTACTCCAATTAATGATTTACTAACCTGAAACAATCGAGTTGAGCCAATCAATGACCTCGTGCCGGGTTCTGAGCTTCAACAGCGGGCCCATAGAATCGGATAGGGACCGAATCCGATTGCCGTAGCGGTAAGACACATGCCTCAAGCTCTTCTCTTTGCCAACGACAGCCAGATCCGCACCTCCGTCCTTCCGTCTGAGGTAATATCGGACCTCCGCCCTCCCTGTATCGCTCGTCGCGCTCACCTCCTCCCAGCTCACATACATCGCCTCCTCCGACGGCGACAACGCCGGCGCCGATCCAAACCTCTCCATCCTCCAGCCAAAAAGGGGGGAAAAGAGAACGGGAAACCGAAGATGAGAGAACTCTCGAAGTCTTTGGCGTCTCTATCTCTCTCTCTCTAAATCAATCGGTTTGGGAAAAGGGGGAAATTGGTTCCCCTGGGTTGCGCGGATTTTTTAAATGAAGGCGGAAGCGTAGGAGCTAGGGTTTGGCGGAGAAGATGGACGGCTGCGATTAAGCTTCCACGTGGGTCCACGTAGGAGAAGACGGTAGGAAGAAGCGCGTGGATTTTAAAATCTTGAATTCCGAAACTACCCATTGAATGCGGAGAGGGGTTTACGATATTACCCCTGCTCGGGACCCAATTCTTATCCCGTCACGTGTCTTATTTGCCGGGTGGGGTTTCGGCGGAAAACGACAAGGAACAAGTTGTGCGAAAGAGGAAAATTGATTTAATTAATTAACTTTTATTTACAAAAAGAAAAATAAATAAATAAAAGGTAGTGCCCGGGATTGCCGTATTCAAAGTGGGAGACTCGTCAGTCTAATTTGCCAGCTGTCGAAGTCGAAGACTGGCTGACAAGTCTAGTTCAGAGATTTAAATCAGGAATAAATATCTAATCGTTTGGATGGATCAATCTAGAAATGAGTCAATTTGATCAATTGTCTCGTTTTATAAACGAGGCAATTAAAACGAGTCAATTCAAATTACCTGCCCCCACCCCAGGTAATTGAAATTGACTCAAAACGGATCAATTCAAAATACCTCAGACAGATTGACCCATCCAAAAATTTTGCTGACAAACGAGGCAATTTGGTACAATTGTCTCAAAACGAGACAATTGTGTCAAATTGATCCGTTACAATTCCTCATCCAAACGACCCCTAAAAGAATTGGTGTATAAAATGGTCTATTTTTTACGGGTTAATTACATGGTTGGTAACTGAGGTTATAAAAACGTTCATGTTTTGTCACTTGTGATATTTAAATCCAATGGTGATACTTCAGTTTACTGAAACTGTTCACATTTGGTCACTCTCCGTTAGTCGACGTTCATCTCCGTTAGTGGAGTCCGTTAAGTGATGATGTGGCAGACAGAATTGTCTAATCAGCCCTATTTAACCAAAAATCGTGCGACTCGACCCGCCATTTCACTAAGATCCGCCATATCATCTAAACCAACTCAACCAGACCAAACCCAACATTCGACCCTTAAACTAAACTACCCAGATTAGATCCCTAATATCTAAAACAGATCTCCAGCTCTCGCTCTTCTCCATCTTGTCGTATAATACTGCTACTCGCCGACGGCCGCAAAAGTAGAAGCCTTCTTCCTGTAGGCTGTAGCTGTCCGTTACCTTCATCAACCTCAACTTCAACCTCACCACCAGCTTCTCCAACCCCATCATCATCCTAGCTAATTAACTACTACTGCAACCACAAACAGCAACACCAGAAACCAATTACTTAGACCTGTGAGGAGATTGCAAAATGGATGAGCGTAGCAACTTCCACATATAGTGTGGGGCTGTTATATACACTGCGAGAGAGAGGTTGCAACTCAAAAGAGTTTTCTCATTCCGTACGTAGCCTTTCCCAATAAGTTTCTCCAACTCAAAAAGTATTTCGGTTGTCGTCGTATTTCATCGCCGACAACAAGAACATTACCAGCCCGACGCGTTTTGCGTGGGGACTGAGGCCGCACAGGATGTTCCTGGACGCGATTGAGCGGTTGGGGGGTGTGGGGATGGCGGAGCTGACTGCAATTTTCCAGCTGATGAAGGAGTCGGATCAGGAGGCTGGTAGTGGGCCGAAGGAGAATAGTGGTGGTGGCGATGGTCAAACACGATCGAGAAGGGGAAAGGTGGAGAACTGGAGATCTGTTTGAGAAATTAGGAATTTAATTTGTGTGGTAGTTTAGTTTAAGGATGGTTGGAGAGTTGGGTTGGTTTAGATGATATGGTGGGTTAGGTCATACTATTTTTGGGTTAAATAGGGCTGATTAGGCAATTCTGTCTGCTACGTTATCACTAACAGACTCCATTAACGGAGATGGACGACGACTAACAGAGAGTGACGAAATGTGAACGTTTTCAGTAAACTGAAGTACCGCCAATAGATTTAAATATTTCGAGTGAACAAACATGAACGTTTTTTGTAATCTCAGTGACCAACCATGCAATTAACCCCATTTTTTACTATTAAGAATTGTTTAAGAAAAATTGTTACATGAGATTTACAAAATTAAATAGTGTTGTTATCGCCTATAGGTTTAACAATAGAGTGTTAAAACTTTTTTTAGTATGGTGCTAACACTAGTTTCAATCAATATGAACATTTCGTTATGATACTTTTTAATTAATTAATGAAAAGAAGGAGAGACATGTTTGGTATTATGAAAATTTGAAGGAAGGGATATTTCACGTGTCTTGTGCAATTAGATGGGAAGGAGTGGAGTACCACAAAGTTTATTAAAATAACCCATAAGTCTTATAAAATATACCACAAGTCTAATAAAATATATCACTTTATTATATAAACAAAATTATTATAATGGTTAATAATTGTATACCCTTTACTATTGCAAGTTTAACAAATGTGTTATTCTATTATTATTTTGCACAAACATGCTCCTCTATTATTGGTAGAGGTGTTCAAACGGTGTGGTTACTGTATAAGCCTGGAAAGTACCAGGCGAGATGGAGGTCGTTCTTGTTGAGATTACGCAGAAGGGATCTGGAGGCGGGGCCTTGGATACTCTCTGATGATTAAGTCGGTGTGTTTTAGAGAGAGAAAGTAGATAGAGAATGGGTAGGTCAGTTACCATTAAATGATGTAGTCAGTCTCTATTTCTAGCTGATGGGAGTTGGCACGGGCATTTAATGCTCTGCTAAGCGTGTACTAGGCGTACTTTCCCGTGGTTATGCCTTCGGCGACATTTAATGTTGTCAGAGTAGCCATGATTAGCACTATTGTTGTCTTATCGAATTTATCTTCCCTATGCACGCTCCCGACTGTTATTCCCGCTCCCGGTGACAGTTCCCGCTTCCCGTATACATCATTTCTACTGGGCCTTGTCTCTGTTTATTGGGTCGGTTCCTTTACCATGGGTCTAGGTTTGTTTAGTTATCCCACTTGGCCCAAAAATTATCCCGCAGGCGGGGAAAGCCTTCGGATTTCGGCGGCTGAATCCTAGGTCTGGGCGGCAATACTACCGAAACCTAGGACCTGGTATACAAGCCTCTCCCTCCAGCCGTCAAATTAGGGATATCACGCCTCGGGGTTGATTCGTTTTGCCTAACTATCGCGTGTCTGACTGTACGTCCTTTCCATTGGTCTTAGGAAATTGTGTTGTTAGACTTTTTGAATTCACGCCATCATTACTACCTATATAGCCTTTTAGGGTTATTCGAATATCTTCTTCGAAACGATGCCTCCTTCCCTTTAAAAGGTCATCGAACACTCCAGAATTGGTAAGTAGCTTCTCTGTTTTTCCTCTCGTTCATCTATCTTCTTCTTCATCAATCGTCGTCGCCGTATAATGATCTTCTTTTCATTATAGCCCACTATGGTCGTTACGAACTCTGGCGCTATCTCACGATGCCTTGTGGTAATTCCGATGCAACTTTATCATCCTCCATTGGTTCTGGGTCTTAGTCGGGCCGAAAGAGGTCTTTTGCTGGAACCTCCGTAGTCACCATTGTTCCAAGCAGAGCTGCCACCGTCAACCCTTCCACTTCTTCAATCGTTCTAGACTCGTCTAAGACGATTTCGAACCCTATCACCGATGCCGCTCAAGGTATGTTCAATCTGAATATTTTATCGCCCTTTAGTATGTCCGATATTGACTGGGATCTGAGTGGGGTAGACGTGGACTTTGCGGATCTTGGTCGGACGATGACCGATTTTTGCTAGGTAGGGATGGGGACGGTTCGTTTGAATTGAAAAATGTTAATTTGGGTTTAGGCGTAGAACCTATGGCTGCTAGGGGAGACACATCCGTCGCTGGGAATAACTTGGCAAATTCTGACGATATTTCATTTTCAAGCGTTAGCACTGAAGAGGGGCTTAGTATTAACGAGCCAGCCTCCGCTGAACGGCTTGATTCTCCATCTCTCAAACTTTCTGAAGACACTTCAGAAACAGATTACCGGGCGGTAGAAGAAGAAGAGTACTCGGTTCGTTTTTATGCGCATATGTGGGGAAGGGGCGATATTCCCGCTAGCGCTTTCGACCGGGGCCCCGATAGGTATAGCAAGTTTAAGCCTGCTACTGTGCTTACACGCCTTCGAAATTATCAACTCCCCACAGAATGGAAATATGCTTCTCCATCTCCGAACTCGGGAGCGGGTAGCTGTCTGAAGGGTTGGATCACAATTTATACCGAGCACCTGAAGCTGAGGTTACGCTTCCCCTTTGATCCTCTTATCACCCAAACCCTATTGTGTTTGAACTGTACTCTAGGGCGTTTATCGCCCACAATTATTTTTCATGCATGCGCTTACTGGTTCATATATGGGCTTCGCCGGATCTAACGTATGGTCTTTTGGGAGGCGGGACAAGGCGTTTGGGTTTGTGACCAGATCCCCAAAGTTGGACCATGTTTGGTTTAAAGACTTCTTTTATGTGAAGCCTACGACTAAGTGGTATTCCGGTGACAAGGAGCTGAGGACGTGGTTCGCCTATGGGAGGAAAGAGAATTGGGATGCGAAGCTTTGGACACTGGAGTCCCAAAAAAATCATGCATTGAAACATGCTGAGCAGTCACCGTTTAATGTGAGGCCCAGGGGTCAGACTGTGTGGGAGCTATTCTGACTAAACTCTTCGGAGATGTTCAGTAGCGTGTGTGTTGTCTTTCTAGAGCGGTGTTCACTTTTATTCGTGATAGTAACTTGCTCCTTTTTGCTCAGCTATGCATTTCATAAGCATGGCTCTGATGGCAAGGCCGCCAAGGCGCTCCAAAACGAGTGTTCCGAGGACCAGGAATGCGTCTAGTGCCGCTTCGAAGTCGGGTTCCTCGTCTACCCCACCTGCGGTGGTGAAAACGCTGGGGCTACTGATAAAGTCCTCTACGATCGCTGAGCAGGCCATGCTTACGAGCGGGGCTGATGGGGTGATGACAGAGAACACCAGAGGCAAAAATGTTCGCAAAGCGTGACACCGAGAAGTGTGTTGCTGACGCGTCGGCTGAAGATACGGAGGAG